AAAGAAAAAGAAAAAACTGGACCACAACCACATAGATCAAGAGCCATTACACCTCAGTGTGCTGCCTGGCTTGGCCTCTCATCACACAATCACTTTCTCTTCCTTTCTCTCCAAACTTCCAAAACAACTATATATATTTTATGTTCTTTCATTTGTTGCAACTTAATAAATCAACAAATTGGTTCAGTTTCTAATTTTATTTATTTTATAATTGTTGGATGAATTATACCTATATGATGATCAGAAGGCTGCGGAGAGGATTTAGAGATGTACTTGCATTGAAGCACAAAGACAGCAAAGATTTCTTCAAGACAGGGTATTGACCCATTGTTCCACATCGACCAGTTGAAGGAAGGAGGAGAACAGAGTTGTGTCAAGAGCTGGTTTTGTGATTGTTTCCATATAGAGGTGTCAAACGGGCCGTGCCGAACCGGCCCATCCCATTTAAACTCGTGCTTTTAACATTTTCGTGCCGTGTCGGGTCGGCCCATTTAATAAAATCATTAATCCCGGCCCGGCCCAAAGCCTATGTCCATATTGAAACGGGCCGGGCCGGGCTCGTGCCGTGCCCTTGCTCGTGCTCGTGCCATACTCGGGCCCAAGAACCAACCCATTTCATTTGAATTTTTTTCACTTGATTTTTTTTTCCACTAGATAATTCAAATTATAAACATTAAAAATATAATTAGAGGCAAGAAATGATGAACTATTTGAAAACATTAATCAATTATCAAAGATCCAAACAATATGAAGGGGCGGAGGGCAAAAAGTGTCCAACTCCACAAAGTCCACTTGAACTTTTCATCTTTAAAAAACTTATTATTTTATATGTGAAGAAATGTCTTGCTTTGATTATAAGAGAAGCGTATATGTCATATGTATTGATTAGATATCAAGTCCAATGTTGTTTAATTAATTTGTAGTTGATATGTTTAATTAATTAAGGACCCAAGTAATTTCCCTAAAATGAAAGACATCAAATATATGTTTATGATTATAAAAAAACAAAAAAAAACATATAAACAATGACATTAGATGTCAAATTATTGCATTTTGCTTTTTTGAGAAGAAAAAAAAATGCTAAATGGGCCGTGCTTGGGCTCATACTGTGCTTGAAGCGGGCTCGGGCCAAGCCCGGCCCGGTCCATTGGACCTATTTTTTGATCCCGGCCTGGCCCAAGTTTTCGTGCCGTGCACGGCCCATTAATATTCGTGCTCGTGCCGTGCCGTGCCTCATTTAAACGGGCTGGGCTCGTGTCGTGCTGGGCCGACCCGTCCCGTTTGACACCTCTATTTCCATAGAAGTGATTTTAGCAAAAGTTCTTTAGATGTTATTTTATAGGCTTTGGCTACCTAAGATTGAAGGGTAATGCACTTTTACAGTTAAAGAAATTTTTTAGAATCCCATGTCAAAAAACACTCAATCAATGCTTATAATGACTTACTACTTTGTTATCATCATACAATGCTTATAAGAGAATTTTTTTTCTTCTCTTGTTTAAATCTGAATTTCTCTGTTTTGATGTTGATTATTTTTATTTGCTTATTGGTGACGACATGTGGTACATAAAAATTCCGTATATATGAATTATATTCCTACCAAAATGAGTGACTTGGGAATAAATACCTCTTAATTATACGGGTGCTGCTAAACTAACCCTATTATAATTTTGAAGAATACTTTATTTTTTTGAATACAAAAGTTTGGGTGTGCTGAAAATTATTACAGCTCTTCCAATCCCAAAACCACAAACTCCTGAGGCCTTAACTCTCTCCTCAATTAATTGTGCACGTGTTTTGCTTTTGGAAGGAAGTAATCCTCTTTGTGATGCCCGTTTCCATTGCACACACATAGAGTTCAGTTCGCAAAACTTAAATCCACTGACACCAAAACGATATAATGAAAATTTTGAAACATAAATGATTGCAATTCATCGACTAATTAATTATATGGACAATTTAATGATTAATAAAGCAACTGTTAAGAAGAAACACTCAATTTCATATTGGGGTGGCATAATGATGATTATCGTAAAGTCCCACATTGGAAAAACACTCAATAATACAAATGCTTATAAGAGGTTACATAACATTTTGATATTGCCGAGCCTAGTAGCGTGGGCTTGTAACTAAGCGGGGCATTAAGAGCAAGTCCACCGCAGCCCTTTTTGCCAGGGCAACAGGCCCCCCCAGCACCAATTGGACCTCCAGCGCAGGAAAAGCAGCCCGGGCAAGCCCTGGGTCCCACCAGCCCGGGCAAGCCCAAGGGCAGATCTTGACTGGGCTTCAGCCCGAAGGCGCTGACGTCAGCGAAGCAAATCAATTTTTTTTTTGGGTTAAAAAAAATCAAAAAAAAATCAAAAAAATACCAAAAAATTCTGGATTTTTTCTCTATAAATACCTATCAATTTCATTCACTTTCCACACCAAT